AGATGTGTATATCGAAAGTGGGGCTGATCGAGATAACAATACCCTAGGGGCATTCCCCCGCGAAAATGTATGCGTTCTAAACGCCTGAAAATAACCTCTGAGGCCTTGTGGTTTAATTCTGAAATCTATATCTAAGCACAAACAGTTGAATGCAGCGCTCCCCTGTATGCCAATCAGTTGACCATTGTTTTGTCAGCTCTATATTTTAAATGTTTTAAATGTTTATGTTTGTTTTTTTTTTTTGTCGCGTTGTTTATTGTAATTAATCTATTTTAGATTAAAACCCCCAGTCAATAAAACGTACAAGACATAATGCCACGCTATTTATAACATTTTAAAGATTTGAATACGGGAATATGTCCTACCATGCCAGTAACCGAAGTGATGAAAACAACAACGGTACAACAAGCAGTGAGTGTTTTGCCCACAGTCAGCCAATCATTCGTTACAGACGGAATAATAGAAAAATACACTTCGACTGTATTTATGCATCCATCAAAAGGAAACCAATCTGACATAGAAACTGGTCCTGATGTACCGATGGTTGCTATTATTACGTCAATTGTCGTGATCACAATCGCAATCATTTTATTAGTGCTATTGTTTATGCGACGCTCACAGAAAAGAAAAGGATCAAGGTATTAATAATAATAATAATCAATATTTATATATGGTAGCGCCTAATGTTGATAACCTCTGGCGCTTAACAACAACATAAAGCAGCGATGCAGGAGAAGGTGGCATTCAAGTGGTCTCACCCACCGATGTCAAAGTAACGTCGTTGTCTCAATGAGGCAATTTACACGCAGGTAATCCACAAAAGGCAGCATGCTGGGCTCCGGCACTTTCCACCAAAGGATAAGCCTGTGGCTCCACTACCGTGCGTTGCCGAGACAACGACGTTACCTTGAGTAGGGAAAAGGTGAGACCACACCTGAAAACCACAATAATCATCCTGCAACAACGGTTAGAGCGTTTTTATTATAGTTATTATTACTATCACTAGTTATATATTTATTATATACTGTATTATTGATACTATAATTAAAATTATAATATTATTATAATCATAAAATATCATCTCTTTATTATTACTATTAATATTATTACTATTAATATAGTTATGTCAATATTGTTAATGTATAATATGTATTATTATTATTATTATTATTTTTATTAATAATACTAGCATTATTACGTCTATTGTTGCTAATTACAATTATCATTATTATCATCATATTCATTTATTATATTGATATCATTTTTATTATTATTATCTTTCCTAATGATAAATAATAAAAATGGACTTACTTATTAAAGGTTAGAAAATTATACTGATATTATTTTATGTAATACAACTAATTAACTAGTAACACTTACTAATTGCTAGTTAACCTTTTCATTTAGGCTTATGTATGTGTGTTTACTTTTTTAGAAATACCCTTGGTCCGAATCAGCATGTACCGTCAACAGGCCCACCGATCAATAAAGATGGAGGTACGTACTTACACATGCACAATATTTTCAAAATATGTTATAACGTCGGTTTCTCGTTCTTAACACAATCGGAACTTCTGTATTTAAGCATTAAATAGAATATTTTGTAAATAGCATTCAGTTTTCCATATTTTTTGTGTTTGGTAATTGTTTGTACACAGGTATGCATCACAATATGCAGTCTTTTAACGCCAACATAATGTCAATGGATGCCGAATGTCTGAAATCACAGACGGCTACTAGTACCAGTACCAGTACCAGTACTTCAATAATTGAGTTCCCGTTAAGCCTCGCCCTTTGGATATTGTTGCTAAAATCACGAAAAACAACAGCGAAACGTACACAAACACGTGCGTTTCAAAATACAGTCTAGAGATAGAAATTCTAAACAAAAGAGTAGGCATACTGCAATTTTCGAAAAGAATGGAATTTGCAATTTTCCCGATTCTTTCAAACTCACTAATGGCACTGAGGTTGTTCTGCATACCTATTGTAATGCAGACTTGCCACTTCTTTTGCAAATCTTGGCCCTAAACATTAGTGGATATTAAGGTGACATTGATTCCTACATTCATTAAAAAGCAGCAATTTATCTTTTTATAACCGTTTGAATGAGAGTAATTGTTATTGTCGTGAAGGAATAATAGACAATAACTGGATTTGCGTCAGGAAAAACATGTATAGGTGTAATTTTCCCCTACCTGACGTTGAAATGTACCGAGTGGGACTCGAACCCACTCTTTTCCAGATCACTAGCATGGCATCAAACCTCTAGACCACCGAGCTTGCGCCTGATGGCCAGGGTTGAATTCGAGTGCAAGTAAGCAGCGGGTACTGCAGTGTTGATAGTAATTGTTATTGTCGTGATGGAATAGTATGCCAGGCTAGTACACCTATACATGTTTCTCCTGACGCAAATCCAGTTATTGTCTATTATTCCATCACGACAATAACAATTACTATGAACACTGTAGTACCCACTACTTACTTGCACTCGAATTCAACTCTGGCCATCAGGCGCAAGCTCGGTGGTCTAGAGGTATGATGCCAGGCTAGTGATCTGGAGACCGTGGGTTCGAGTCCCACCCGAGAACAACTTGCTATTTTTTTCGCAGTTGTTTTCAAATGTACTGAGTATTCGGTATATTTCCACGTCAGGTAGGGCAAAATTACACCTATGCACGTTTGAATGAGTTTCTTATTCGCTGTTAGTTCAAGTCTTTTTATATCTGAACGCGTCTGTAACAACACGGCATCGTGATATAAACGCTTTATGCTATCTAGCATATTAAATTTATATAGGCTTAAGTTTTTATAACATATTATATTATTTTCAATATTAGCCACCGTCTCTTACTCAGAAGGTGGTGTTGTCCACAAATACTCAACAGCAGAGGACCATCAAGATCGGAGCGAAGCATACAACATACTTGATGCAAAAGACATACATTCACCAACCGTGGTTGTCAATGGTGTATATGCTGTGCCACACAAAGACGCAGCGCCAACAAATAGTGCACAAGATCAAGAATATGATATGCTCAATGGCATGGATTCGGGAGCCTCGAAACAAAACGGATTAGGTGGTGGTGTGTATGCCGTACCAAATAAGAAGGCAAAAGCACATAATGGGGAAACAAATCAAGATGTAGACGAACCTTATGCTACACTTGATGCTGATGACATGCAACCAGTGTCAGAACACCATGGAAGAGAGTCTGATAACGCTTTTGACGATGCATTATATGTTAACACAAATGCACATTGTCTGCAAGATGAAGGTGAAGCCTATAATGCCCTTAATGCTGCAGACATGCATTCAGACCGAGACAATTCAGGTGATGTATACGACGTGCCATACAAAGAGTCAAGTACGGGTCAACAAGATCATGGTGACGTCTATGATATGTTGAATGGAACACAAGTTCGTTTAGACAACGAATATGGCAAGCTGAATGCTTCAGATAATATGCTGGAAAAAGACGGCATGTATTCGTATGTTGAGACAGAGGTAGGCGGTGGAATTGTGACAATGTCGCCTGGAGAAGAAGATCATGCTTATGACAAACTACAGCGCAATACAAAACTTGATGGCGCTTCAATAAATGGCAATAATTATAATACACTCCAGTAAAGAACCTTCGTTCAAATCTACACCTCTACAGTATTCAGTGGCAGATTCAATGAGGCCCAGTCGGCATGCAACTTCTACCCTTAAATTTTTCAATATTTAAAAAAAAATGGAGAAAAAAAGAGAAAATTATATAAAAGTCCCATTTTCGGCCATCTAGAGTGCCATAATCAATATTGTTCTTACCTCAGCCCCAACTATGGACCAGGGTGGGGCTGAGGCGGTTGGACACGTGTTTAGAATTCCTGGACCCGCCACTGATATTCTGTACCTAAACGAACATACTTTAACTTATATACCGTAGCCGTAGGACAATATGGAGCAGCATTGAGTATTAGTTGGTGTAATGTATATTTCTTTCCTACATCTTATCAAATTTTGTTTCCCTACATCTTAAATTTCCATTAAATTGTTATGTTGATTGTTTTTTTTAGCTCCGATGATGATATAATACAATAATTACCCGTGGATCATGTGTGATCTGTTTATTAGTTATATTATTTGTCTAAATTGATAGGACGCATAGGCCTGTCACGCCAAAATTGGTCCGGGCTGAAAAATGTCCGGCGGACAGATTTTGGCCGCCAACGTCGGTCCTCCGGATTGATTTTAGCCGCTAAAACCGGTCCCGCTTGGATAAAATTGGTCCGAGACGGCCTGAACACTGCCACTTCACTTGTAAATCGTCTGCTGCTCATAGGGTAGGAATATGATTGTTTCTCCCGTGAAGTGGAGGAAAGTAATTATGTTTCTGCCACACTTGAAAACAGTGACAGAATGTTAGTATTTATAAGCTTTTGAGGACGTATTTAATCAAACCCACCTGATAATGCATTTCCTAGGTCTACGCGATCGATACACACAAACATACATCTTTTTCGGCGGCCGTAGTTAGGCTTAGGTTTGAGCCTAAAATGAAACACAAGACTAATTTATTAGTTTTAAATATTCCGGATTATTGTGTGGGGTATTAGATCATACAATAGATATTCTAATAC